ACATTTTGGAGACCAAAAGGAGATAAAGAAGAAGGAAGAGGAGGAGAAGGAGAAAAAGAAGAGGAGGAGGAGGAGGAGAAGAGGAAGGAGAAGAAAAAGAGGAAGACAAAGAAGGGGAAGGGGAAGAAGAGAAAAGAAAAGATAAAAGAATGGAAAGGAAAGGAAAAGAAAAGTAAAAGAGAGGAAGGAAGGAAGGAAGGAAGGGAGGGAGGGAGGAAGGAAGGAAGAGAGGGAGGGAAAGAAAGAAAGAAAGAAAGAAAGAAAGAAAGAAAGAAAGAAAGGAAGGAAGGAAGGAAGGAAGGAAGGAAGGAAGAAGGAAGGAAGGAAGGAAGGAAGAAGGAAGGAAGGAAGGAAGAAGGAAGAGGGGAAGAGAGGGAGGGAGGGAGGGAGGGGGGAAGAGAGGGAGGGAGGAAGAAAGAAACTGCCATCTTCACAAGTGTCCTGGCACTAGGTTGTCTTCGTTATCAATGAACACAGTTTCATCTCCTCAGCAGGCACATTTGAGGAACAGTGGAGAGGAGAGGCCACGGGGTAATGTAGCATAGCGGTGGGTGCACAGACTCTGGAACCAGACTTCTCAAGTCCAAGTCCTGGCTCCACCACTTACTAGAGATGAGATGCTGGATAAATTAATTAATCTCTCTGTACCTCAGTTTTCTCATCTGTGCCATGGGTATGATATCAGCGTGTACCTCATAGGGTGGTTATGAGGATTGGATGAGCTTTAACTTGTAAGGTTCCTGGCACATAGTAAGTTCTATATACTTGTTTGTTGTATACATAATAAAATTAACAAAAGAGGATTATTTGGTGGGGTGGCGTGTGATTTCTAAGACAAAAAAAAAAGTGATGGTAGGACTGTAAATAAAGTCAATGAAAGCCCTTTAGAGCATAAAGTTTCAGAATATAGAGTTTCAGTACAACGCATAAGGTATGATATCATGGGTGGAGGAAAAAGCTATTTCTACAAGGTGTATGTCTACATGTAAAGTCATAGAAATGTGTCTGGCAGGATACTTACCTCTGTGGAGGGGACGACCAAGGGGGACGTCAGCATTATTTTCCATATTTGCATCCTGACCATGAGAACATATCTGTTCTTTGTGAAATAAAAAAGCCAGTAACTTTCACTGAAAATCAACATTAAAGAACAAAGTGTCCAGGAAACAGTGAGGAAGAGTAGTGGCTCTGCCACCTGGGAGTCAAGGGAAGTCACAGAAGAGATGACATCAGAATTGGATCTTCAAGGAGGTATTGCCTGAGGAAGAGATTGGCTGAAGAAGGGCTGCTTGAGAATGAAATGATGTATTCGAGGATGGATGGGAATTCATATGAGCAGAGTTCTGGCGTGTGTGGTTGCGCAAGGAGATGGGGGGAGGGATAGGTCTGAGATCAGGCCGTGCGGACGGGTTATAAAGGGCTGCTTTACACACAGAGGAGGTTAAACTTTGTGGACACAACTTTTTAAGCCACCCAAGGGACACGATCTCAAAAGAAGTATCCTTCAGCATCCAGGTGGAAAGTAGCTGGAGAGGTAGGGGATAATCGCTTAGGAACTGGTTAAGGAGACGGCTGCACTGCCCTTCGAGAATTTCCCGTAAGTGACAGAATAGTATCTATGCAGGGAGAGAAAAAGGTCTTGATTTTAGAGATAGGAGGAGGCAGCAACAGTACCTGCCTCTCAGCACCGACTCCACATTTTTGTGTTAACTGTACCCTGCTTTGGGGAATCACCTTTTTTCACCTTCAACCCTTGTACTTTAGGCTCGGAGCTCTTGGGATAAGACACAGGCTATAAGTCATTAACTAATTCTTTCCTGGAAGTGCACATGACCCCAATAAGGACAGTCAGGCCACCAACACACATTCTGGGACATCTGGAAGGAAACTCCCTCATGACACCAGGTGTGAGATGACAGGAACCTGAAACTGCTCGGGCCGCCAGGGGCCTGGAATGAAGTCAAGCCTTGAGCCGGATCCTGGTGGCATCTTTGAAGCCCCAAATCAAGCCAAGCCTTAGCCAGCCATGGTCACAAAAATTTCACGAGCCAGTGATCTTTTTTTAAATGTTTATTCATTTTTGAGAGAGAGAGGGAGAGAGAGACAGAACGTGAGCAGGGGAGGGGTGGAAAGAGAGCAGGACACAGAATCCCAAGCAGGCTCCAACTCTGAGCTGTCAAAACAGAGCCGATGCAGGGCTCAAACCCATGAACCTGAGATCATGACCTGAGCCAAAGTTGGACGTTTAACCGACTGAGCCATGCAGGCATTCCATGAGCCAGTGATTTTTATTTTTATTTTTATTTCTGAGAGAGAGAGACAGCGTGAGCAGGGGAGGGTCAGAGAGAGAGGGAGACACAGTATCCAAAACAGGCTCCAGGCTCCAAGCTGGCTGTCAGCACAGAGCCCGACACGGGGCTCGAACCCACGAACCATGAGATCATGACCTGAGTCAAAGCCAGACGTTTAACCAACTGAGCCACCCAGGCACCGCCATGAGCCAGTGATTTTTAAATTAAATTAAATTAAGTTTAGTTTGGTTTAAGTCAGTTTGAGCTGAGTTTTCTGTTCAAACTGACTCTGAATTAAAAGTATTCAGAGTGTTTCTAATGATTAGCACTGCAAGGAGCAGCATCTCTCAAATCTACAGCTCTTGGTCCCTGGGCAAGAAGGCAGGATGAAAAGATGTCCTTAGCTACTGTCAGCCCCTTGTAGGGAGGGAGGATGTGTCGTTTCGATTTGCTAAGTTAGCAGAATCTAAGGCGTTAGAGATTCTGGAAGGGGTGGCCCAAACCAACTTGTGACTCCCTGATTTTGGGATTTCGCAGATTTCAGCTAGTAAAATTACAAAGACAAATCTTAGGGCCTAAAGAATTGCCAATTTTAATTTGTTAAGTAACCCTAAAAGAATATTATATCATAAAATATCATAAAAGAAATAATACTTTCTCTCTCTCTCTCTCACACACACACACACACACACACACACAAAAGGCTACTTTTCAAGCAAAGGATACCCTTTAAAATGAACACCTTTGGGAGTGCCTGGGTGGCTCAGTCTGTTGAGCATCCAACTCTTGATTCTGACTCAGAAAACGATCCCAGGGTCCTGGGATCAAGCCCCACACTGGGCTCCATGCTGAGTATGGAGCCTGCTTGGGATTCCCTGCCTCCCTCTGCCCCTCTCCCTGGTTCATGCATTCACTCTCTCTCAAAAAAAAAAAAAAAAAAAAAAACCACACACAAAAAACAACACTGTGACATGAGTATCTTTGACTTTGTGAAAGACACTACGCTGTACTCACTTTTTTCACTCTGTCTCGGTTATGTGAAAACCTTTTACCAGCAATGCCAACCCACTAACTGGGTGGAGAACCCCGTGCCCTTCGGTAGAGTCCCCACCCATCAGATGTCTCAGATGTCATCCACATCCGTGGGACAGGGACAATCTGAACAACACAGGGTCCCAGGCCTGCAGGAGGATTGCAGATCCCAAGGAAAAGCCTCACTCAAATCAGGGAGGACCTGGCAAGGAAAGTCAGACAGGGAGAGCGTGGAGCTCAGAGAGACTTAAGGAACATCTCCTGTTAGCACCATTGGCTGAGTCCATCCAGCCCTCTCCCTGGTCCACCGCCTGACTAGGGACCCCAGGAGCCCCAAACACAGACGAGTTGCAATGCTGGGTCTAGATGAAGGTGCTGGGAGAGACCAGAGACAGTAAACAGGCAGGTCCTCCCCTCCCCCCCGAGCCCCCCACCCACCGCTCCGGAGCAGGAACAGCTCAGAGCTGGGGATTCTACATCAACAGAGACTGAGGTTAGCTCAGGAGTGTGGATGTGGGCTGTTCCCTTGTGTTATGAGGAACAGTAGCTCATTCAGCTGAGCTCAGAGAGGTGGAAGGTGTTAGCCAACGGGTGAAGGGGTGGGAGTCTGGCCCCTCCACACTCCCTTCCTAGAGCAAGCAGCTACCCACCCCATGGAGCTGGGTTTGCAGGAACGAGTCTTTGACGAGTCACAAACCATGCTGTGGTTGTGTGGTCAGTATCAAAAAGTGCTCCAACTTTCAGTCTAAGAGAACTCAACATCCCCCTTAAAGGGCGACTGGATGGCTACTGGCTTTGAGCCAGGACCCAGGGCACAGCAGGAGGATAACAAGACAGAGGGAGAAAGGGGAGAGTGGGCAAAGCAGGAAGGAAGGCCAGGGAAGCAGGGCCCAGTCAAGACAGGCAGGAAGGGCTGACAGGAGACACAATGGGAAGAGAAAAGGACCCTTTGCATCCTGCTCTGGGCTCTGATCACGTGCACGAAGGGTGTACACAGATGCGCACACGAGTGCATTTCTCTGGCAGTCGGCTCTACCTTTCTGAGCCTCCAACCTTAAGGACTGAGCTAGAGGTTTATGTAAAGATACATACACTGGGCACATTAAGGGAAACAAAGGCTTCAAGAACCTGAATCCCAGTATGGCCAGGCCTCACGGAGTCTACATCAAGAGCCAGTGATAGATTCAAAGGAGCCCCGGGACCCTCAGCGAACTGAAATTCTCAGGTTTTCGTTCTTCCACGTCTCTGCCCTTGTCCACTTTCGGACTCTGCCAATTCATCCGTCTTTCTCTTACTTTCCCACCCAAGTTCCTGAGAAACCCAAGATCTGGGCCGCTCTGGACATCTATCTCAGTGGGGCCCCGAAAGCCAAGACCTCTGTCCAGTCTACAAGTCACCTGATCTTGAGTGAGGGGTCCCTCAGCTAGGGTAGAGAATAGCAGGGGAGAGGCACGGGGGCCAGCTGTCTCCAGAGTGGCTGTCAAGAGCTCAGAACACTTTTGTGTCTTCTCCCAGGTATTGTAGCTTCCCCACCAGACGCATATCCGGTTACAGCTCTTGAACTCCAGATCTTTGAGGTCAAGTGAGGCTGTGTGACCTGAAAGCCTACAATCCCATGCTCGTGGGGCCCAGTCCTGCTCCCCACCATATCAGAGAGGCCAGAGAATGCATGCCAAGTCATATGCACTATGTTGTTTATTGTCACGTTACCCATGGGACAGGGTCAGATGGGGGAGGGGAGCCCTCAGGCAGAGACACATGGAAGGAGGGGGAAAGTGAGAACCATCTAATTTCTGAACTCTGCTCTTCCTTCCAGCTGCTGACGGCAGGGGCTCGGCCACCAGCGGGGCTCCCTCAGATGCAAGCACAGTGTTGCGTGAGAAGGTTGGGCACGGTCTCATACTTAAAAGAGTAACCGCCATCTGAGGTGGTGCGGACACGTAGGGGCCTCATGGTCCCAGGGAGGGCAGCACAGCAGGGCTGGGCCCCTGGCACCAAAGAAAGGGGCCGGGCGGGGGTCGGAGGAGCCCCCAGGGCCGGCAGGGGCAGGTCTGGTGGGGTCGTCAGCCCACAGCCACCGTGACAATAGTGGAAGATGAAACTGGGAGGGTGCACGATCCACCGGTCCCAGCCCAGCTCCTGGAAGGAGATGTTGAGGGCCGCTCGGTGACAGTCAGCATGGGCAGCGGGTTCCTCTGGAGATCTCTGGAGCAGGCGCAGCGCGGCCGGAGACCAAGGCCAGGGCAGCGGGGGAGTGGAGCGGCGGGTTCTCTCCCCTCCGCCGCCCGGCGGCCTGGCCCGCGTGTGGGCCACCAGGAAGGGTGTGGCCTCAGGCCGGGCTGAGCAGGAGCAGAGAGGGCAACGCAGCTGCAGCACCAGGACAGGGTTGGTGAGCAGAGGGAGGGCGGAGGCGGCCAGGTGCAGCACGGCCCAGCGAGAGGGCGCCTGGCCCAGCGACACGGGCACGGCCAGGGGGACCCCTGATGACAGTGCCAGCAGGCTTAGCAGGGGTCCAGAGCTGTTGGAGGCTGCCCTGCCCTGCCTGTCCAGCCCGGTGTGGAACCACAGGTCGGCCGACGTCACCTGGCGGCTGCGCGTGTGCCTGGACGGCTGGAACACGTAGGTGAAGAGGCCCTCCTCGGCCTCCTGGGTCAGCTCCCCGGCAGCCGGCTCCGCCTCACAGCTGGCACCTACGGGAGATAGACGGAAGGGAGAGGGCAGCCCTGACTGGCAGAGCCTGGGACCCCTCCTCCTCAGCAGCAGGCAGGAGGCTGCCCTCCATGAGCCCGCCCCTCTCCTGAGTGCCCGGTCGGACTTGAGGCCTCTCTCCGATCTTGGGAGAACAGATAGAGGCTCTCCATTTGTTACTTCCTCTTTAAAGGACTTAGAAAATACAAGACAGACGTTGTCAACCTCTCTCTGTAGTGGGTTTACCTACCGCCATTCCTATCAGCATCGTATACGAGGCCCCGCCCACCCTCTACGTTCACCAACGCTTGGGCCTAAATCTTTGTTCACTGATAGTGTGAAATGGGTCCTTGAATGATGGTACCTTGGTGCCATCTCTAGCATTTGCTTGATTACCCCATATAGCTTTTTATAGGTCAGAAATACCACATGACAAACTCTTTAACAATTCCGCTTAAGGGGCACCTGGATGGCTCAGTCGTGTGAACTTCCCACTCTTTTTTTTTTTTTTTTTAACGTTTGATTTATTTCTGAGAGAGAGAGACAGCATGACAAGGGGAGGGTCAGAGAGACGGAGACACAGAATCCGAAACAGGCTCCAGGCTCTGAGCTAGCTGTCAGCACAGAGCCCAACGCAGGGCTCAAACCCACGAACTGTGAGATCATGACCTGAGCCAAAGTCAGGCTGCCCAACCAACTGAGCCACCCCGGCACCCCTAAACTTCCCACTCTTGGATTTGGCTCAGGTCATGATCTCGAGGTCCGTGGGATCGGGCCCGGTGTGGGGCTCTGCGTTGACAGCAAGGAGTGTGCTTGGGATTCTCTCACCCTTTTCTCTCTGCCCCTCCCTACTTGTGCTCTCTCTCTTTCCTCTCTCTTGCTCTCTCTCTCAAAATAAATAAACATTTTTTAAAAACTCACACAATTCCACTTTAAAAAAAAAAAAAAAAAGGTTAACACCAGAAAGTAAAAGGAGGGGGAGGAAGGGAAAGCATATAACCCAGGATAGAGGGCAGCGCTTTCTAAGAAAGGTGGTTGGCATCCTTACCCCACAGGTAGGCAGGCTACACTAAACAATTGACTAGTTGACGGACTGGGGTTGGGACTACACTGTTACACAGATCCTGTTATAAATCTCGCAAGTGACGCATTTGGCAGATAAGGAGAAAGGGTTACAAAAATGAACTACTAAGTGGCCAGGCTGGGATTCTACCCGATCCCAGGGCCACACTAACTCACGGTGCTGCACGAGGACCCAGGCACAGGGAGGCGGGGGGTCCTCTCTGAGGGGAAGGTGGGCCAGGCTATGAGAAAGCCCAGCCGGAAGAGGACTTCGTTGGTTCAGTCAGTGGAACAGGGGAACGTGCATAAGATGAGAAGAGAAGTCAAGAGAAAAGTAGACTAAATTTCCTGGCAAGGTTTCCCAACTAATCTCACCCCTGCATCTCTGCTATCTTCTCAAGCCTCGGCTCACTGGGACTAAAGAGACAAGGTTTGGAGCAGGAAGAGGAGGCAGAGGAAGAAGGAAAGGTGGCAGGAAGGGGCCGATGCCCAAATATCTCTGTTGCTTAGAGACTCTAGGTTTCCCAAATGAGTATCTCCCAAATGCCTCCCCTCAGCCTTACACCATTTCACTTAATCCTGAGAAGTAGGCATTATTGCCCCATTTTAAGGTGAGGAGACAGAAGCTCAGGAAGGTTTAGTAACCAGCCCCCTGTTGCAAAGCCAGTTGAGCGGCAGGTCTGGGATTTAAACCCAGACCTGCCTGGCTCCCAAGCCCAGGCTGTCTGTACCACACTGCTTCTCAGTCACCTTGCCATTTCCCCACCTTCATTACCTGCAGTCGGGAAAAGGATGGCCTGGGAGACATCTTCCTCCTCCCTGGGCTGAGCGCCCCTGCGTATGAAGCCCCCCGGGGCATGTCTTCGGGGCAGACGCCTGGCTCCAGGGTCCCCACTTTCCTCGGTCACTGCCGGAGGCCCCAAAGCATCCAAGAACAGGGCCCTCACCTTGGCCAGGACAACTTCCCGGTCCAGCTCTGGCCCGGAGCAGCCGTGCCCACTCTTCAGGGCCAGCAGTAAGAGAAGCAGGAGTGGCGGCTGGGGCAACATGGCTCACCCAGGCCTGCCAGTGGCGCCCCGTGCCCTCGCTGTCAGGGCCTGTCCCCCACCCCTCGCCTCCCCACTCTGCCCTCCCCATCCCAGCCCGGGCCCTCTTCTACCCTCCTCATCCCAGTCTCCCCAGCCCTTCCCACGCCCTGCAGTCCAAGTTGCCCCTGCCCATGGCATTGAGACCTCCTATCTCTGACGCAGATGTCTGTGGCCCTGAGCCTTATCTCCCACTCCTGCCAGGCATGTGGGAGAGGGGGCTGGTGAGCGTCCTCACCCCGAGTGACCTGACCCACACATTCAACCCCTTCCCCCCTACTCTCTCTCTCTTTCTCAAACATACACATCCCAGCACCCAGCACAGAGGTGACATCAGGTACAACAGGAGCCAGGGAGCTGGGGTCAGCCAGCTCCTAAGAGTGTTATTCGTCTTGGAGACAGAAAGCGCCAGCCCCTCAGACCTTCGGGAGGGGCCCCTTGCAACCAAGCAGCTGCTGGACCCGTCATGGGGGGGAAGGGCTGAGGTCGGGGCTAGAACCGGGGCTAGGGCGGGGGGCAGGTGGTCCTGCCTGCTCTAAACTTAGCCTCGAGGAGCCAGTCTGGGCTCTTGTCCTCCAGCTGTGTCATCAGAGAATATTTTTGGGATTGGCAGCTGCAGGCGCCTCTGCCACTCAGGCCCAAGCCCGGCGGGCGGTTGGGGACCTGGCGGCTGGAGGTGGGAGGGAGGAGGGGAAAGTGGCCCAGGCTGTGGGAGGGGGCTGGGAAGAGAGGCTCTCCGGAGCAGGAAGCTAGGCAGCGGGCAGGGGAGGCTGCGGGGCCCCTCGCTGCAAAGGCAAACAGGAAGGACTGCCCCCCGAGCTCTCGGCTCGGGGCCCGGGAATCGCCGCCGCCGCCGAGCCGCAGCTCCGGGCCGAGGGTAAGGAGGCGAGCCGGGCGCGGGCGGCTGGGGGGAGAGCTCCGCGGATCCTCGCCGCCCCCGGCCCCAGACGCGCCTCCCTCGCGGGCTCCCCTCGCCGCTCCCCGCCCCCTCCCCAACCCCCGGCCTCCGCGCGCCCGCCGCCCGCCCTTCCCCCGCGCCGCTGCGGGCCGGCCGCCGCGATGAAGGCGGGCTCGGGGGATCAGGGGAGCCCCCCGTGCTTCCTGCGCTTCCCGCGGCCCGTGCGGGTGGTAAGTGGCGCCGAGGCCGAGCTCAAGTGCGTGGTCCTGGGAGAGCCGCCGCCTATCGTCGTGTGGGAGAAGGGCGGCCAGCAGCTGGCGGCCTCCGAGCGCCTGAGCTTCCCGGTGGACGGCGCCGAGCACGGCCTGCTGCTGAGCGGCGCGCTGCCCACGGATGCGGGGGTCTACGTGTGCCGCGCGCGCAACGCGGCCGGAGAGGCCTACGCGGCGGCCGCCGTCACCGTGCTGGAGCCGCCGGCCCCTGAGCCCGACCCCCAGCCCGCCGAGCGCCCGCTGCCTCCTCCCGGGGCGGGGGAGGGCGCCCCGGTGTTCCTGGCGGGGCCCCGGTCCCAGTGGGTGCTGCGGGGGGAGCAGGTGGTCCTGACGTGCCAGGTGGGGGGCCTCCCCGCGCCCGCGCTCTACTGGGAGAAGGACGGGATGGCCCTGGACGAAGTGTGGGACAGCGGCCACTTCTTGCTGGAGCCCGGCCGTGCCGAGAGCGGCCCCGGCGTGAGCCTCGCGCTGCGCATCCTGGCCGCGCGGCTGCCGGACTCGGGTGTCTACGTGTGCCACGCCCGCAACGCGCACGGCCACGCGCAGGCCGGCGCGCTGCTGCAGGTGCACCAGCCCCCCGAGAGCCCGCCCGAGGACCCCGATGAGGCCCCCAAGCCCGTCGTGGAGCCGCTCAAGTGCGCGCCCAAGACCTTCTGGGTGAACGAAGGCAAGCACGCCAAGTTCCGCTGCTACGTGATGGGCAAGCCCGAGCCCGAGATCGAATGGCACTGGGAGGGCCGCCCGCTGCTCTCCGACCGCCGCCGCCTCATGTACCGCGACCGCGACGGCGGCTTTGTGCTCAAGGTGCTCTACTGCCAGGCCAAGGACCGCGGGCTCTACGTGTGCGCAGCGCGCAACTCGGCGGGCCAGACTCTCAGCGCGGTGCAGCTGCACGTCAAAGGTACTGCGGCACCTCGGGGCTGTCCGAGCCCGGGAGAGGGGCCTTCAGCGCTGCCGGGGAGCCGGTAGGGGGAGAGGAGGCGGACTAATAACATACCATTACCTGCCCGCCTCCACCTCCCACCCCCCAGGGATTCGGATTTAGTAGGTCTCCAGGGTACCCAGAAACTTCTTAGCAAACTTCCTAAGTGATTCTGAGGCCTTGGTGGAAAATCAGCCTTTGATAAACCGCTTTAAGGAGTGATTGCTGTACCAACCAAGAGGGAGTACTTCTAGTCCAGTGGATTTCATCCTTTTTTGTTTTACCCCCCTTCCCTCAGTGGAAATCCCACGTGGGGCCCCAATGTCTGAGACTGATGTAAGGAACATTTTATGGGTATACGTTTCTAGGTGCAGATTTGTAACTATCGTGAGAACAAGGGTAAGACAAGGCCGCATTCACGACTGGGTCTAGTCTGTGAGTCCTGGGGGAAAGTCTGGCTGCAGGCGACACATGGAGAAACTCCTGATTCACACCAAAGGTAGACTTGAGGGAGGGGGGAAAAATGCCCTTTCAGGAGACTGCTTTCCTGTTTTGAAGGAAGAGGAAGGTGAAGGAGAGGAAATTTCCATTTCGAAGCTGAGTCACCAACGGTATCTAATAACATTAGACACGTTGCTCATATAAACAGAAAACTCAGAGGGGGAAAAAGCACCCCAAATTCCCACTGGAAGGTAAAGCTCTCCAGAATAGGGGTTCCTCGAAACTCGAGGGATTGTACCTTCCCTAGCTATTACTCAACTTGTCCCCTCAGAGTAGGAAAAGTGGGCAAATTTCCTGAGCCGTGCTGTGGCACCTGTGTTTCGGTGGTGAGGTCTGATGTGCACAGACTGCACTAAGGCCATCAGGAAAGAAAAGCCCAATGGGAAGCTCTGTCTTCCAGAGGTGCAGGACAAGCATGCTTCTCCAGCGGCCTGATAAACCCGTTGGTTGTTTCTGTCATCGTGCTTTCTTTTTATAAAATGCAGTTTTTTGCTTTTTAAATTTTTTTTAACATTGATTAATTTTTGAGAGACAGAGTGTGAGTAGGGGAGGGGCAGAGACAGAGGGAGATGCAGAATCAGAAGCAGGCTCCAGGCTCTGAGCTGTCAGCACAGAGCCTGACATGGGGCTTGAACTCACCAACCATGAGATCATGACTTGAGCTGAAGTCAGACGTTTAACTGACTGAGCCACCCAGGCGCCCCTGTAAAATGAAGTTCTGACAATGACTTTTTTTTTTTTTTTTAGTGTTCATTTATTTTTGAGAGAGAGAGACAGAGTGCAAGTGGGGAGGGACAGAAAGAGAGAGGGAGACACAGGATCTGAAGCAGGCTCTACGCTCTGAGCTGTCAGCACAGAGCCCGATGCAGGGCTTGAACTCAGGAACCGCGTGATCATGACCTGAGCCAAAGTCCAACACTTAATGGACTGAGCCACCCTGGTGCCCCTGAAAATGACTATTTTACGTTTTAAGTTTTATTTATTTCTTTATTTTGAGAGAGAGCGCAGGCACTCATGCACCAGGAAGGGAAGGGGAAGAGAGAATCCCAAACAGGCTCCACACTGTCACCCGACACAGGGCTCGAACTCACAAACCGTGAGACCATGACCCCAGCCAAAGTCAAGAGTCAGACACTCAACTGACTGAGCCACCCAGGCGCCCCTGTTTCTTTAAGTTTTAATCGTGCTTTAAAAAAAATCATTTTGTTTTTTTTTATTTTTTTCATCATGATAATTGCACCCTTTAATCTCCATCCCCTATTCCCCCCACCTACCTCCCCTCTGCTAACCATCAGTTTGTTCCCTATAGTTAAGAGTCTGTTTCTTGGTTTATCTCCCTTTTTTAATTTTTTTCCTTTGTTCTGTCTCTTAAATTCCACATATGAGTGAGGTCATATGATATTTGTTTTTTTGGGTTTTTTAAAAAATGTTTTATTTATTTTTGAGAGAGAGATAGAAACAGAGTGAGCAGGGGAGGGTCAGAGAGAGAGGGATTTACCGAATCCGAAGACAGGCTCCAGGCTCTGAGCAAGCTGTCAGCACAGAGCCCGACGTGGGGCTCGAACCCACGAACTGTGAGATCATGACCTGAGCCGAAGTCAGACTCTTAACCGACTGAGCCTTTGTTTATCTCTGACTGACTTCTTTCCCTCGGCATTATACGCTCTAGCTCTAGCTAGAGTGAAAACGACTAAAGGTCTTTAAAAATGAAATTCAGCTCAGCCCCTTGCAGAGTTTGTGTAGTGCCTCTGACGGACCCCAGGGAACAGCTGGGGAAATCACCAATGTAGCCCAAGCCCTTCCATCCCTTTCCCCACTTGAAAGTCAGGAAACTGAGGCCCACAATCATGAAAATGGCCTTGCTTGAGGTGACATGGCTGATGAGTGTCAGGGTCAGGTGAGAATTTGGGCTGCCGGACTTCTCTTCTGGTGGATTTTCTGTGATTCGGGAATACCTGCTGGCCATGGGAGAAAAATGGCAGGAGCTGACTCGGGTTCGGGCAGTTGCTAATGCAGGGAGTCCTTCCCCTGGTCTGGCTCTCTCCAGAACCTTCTCCTATCTCTCCCCTCCCCACAGAGCCCCGCCTGCGCTTCACCAGGCCCCTGCAGGATGTGGAGGGCCGGGAGCATGGGATTGTCGTGCTGGAGTGTAAAGTGCCCAACTCCCGCATCCCCACGGCCTGGTTCCGTGAGGACCAGCGCCTGCTGCCCTGCCGCAAGTACGAGCAGATCGAGGAGGGTGCCGTCCGGCGCCTCATCATCCACAGGCTGAAGGCAGACGACGATGGCGTCTACCTGTGCGAGATGCGGGGCCGGGTGCGCACGGTGGCCAACGTGACAGTCAAAGGTGGGCTGGCCAGTGGGAGGGGGCCGAGGCTGAGACAGGCGGCTGTCCAGACCCCAGGCCCAGCGAGTCCCCA